TCTCAACCACAACAGAATTTAGGACAACATCAGGAGTTGGCAACACTGAAGAAGTTCATCACAACTCAACCATCAACTCTTCCAACTTTCTCCCTTCTCCTGGGTGCTCTGCGTGGCCGCTCCGGCCCAGGGCTGGCAAGTAGGCCTCGACTTACAACCAGTCATGGAGAGAGAAGAACTTTCAACCAGAAGTCGAACTAGCCATGCAAGTACATCATATCTTCATCCAACGGAGGAGAAAACGATTGCAACTTCAAAATGTGACACTCACGGAACCAGTAACAACTTTATTTTCGACAGCTTCAAGAACTGTGTACCCGGCGCTAAAAAATGCAAGTATCAATTCAATCAAGTACTCTGAAAATGATTAGCTGAAGGTTCTTTCATAGATAAATGGATCTTTTCCATAGTTTCATTTCCTGCTCCAGTTCCATTCTATCACTCACCATTTTACCTATGCATGCATGTATGTATGTATGTTTGTTTAGTTACAAAGGGCCCTATCTTGCACCCGGCGCAAATGACTTTATACACTGATGCATTTATCATTCCTATTTTGCACCCGCGCAAAGCGAGCTTTTTTCCTCCACAGACGCACATCGGTAAACTAGGAAATGAACTTGCGCTCCCTGGGCGGGTCGGCGCAAAAAGGAGGTGTGTTTCAGCACAAACAACCCCTGGTGCTTTTTTGCAGTTCCAGAAAACAATTGCACCAATGACCAGAAAAAAACTGGTGTAAAGTCAGTGGCGCGTTGCGCGTACATTCAGATGCTATTTTAAGCGCGCATGCTTGGCCATAATACAGAGTGTGAACAACACGAATGCACTGTAGATGATTCTCTCATCTACACAGATGCATTTTACTTTTTGGAAATGATAGATTATTATAAGGAAAAATATATAAACATGAGGGAAATCATTGTTGTGTCCATGATGATGGGAAAAATAGGCATAAAGCTTACACATTTACCCAAATTATTATATGCATGTTTAACCGAAGCTAATTTGGGTGGGTTTGTCCCATCCCCAATGTCCCTTCTCTTTCTTTTACGGCCCTGACGAGAACATTGATCTCCTCGGCTGTGAACCGATGCTGAAGCGCGCCTGGTAAATGCACCGTTAAAATAGAATTGCTCCATAGAACAAGCGCACCTCGTTCATCATGCTCTTAAAGGGAATGTGATATGACGCTCTTAAAGAGCATATTGCAGGTAAAAAAAAAATCGAAATTTATAGATAACCTTGTATGAAAATACCATATGAAAAGTTAATGCAGGATTTAAAATGTTTTAAAACAACATAAGGGCACTAATTTAGTAGATAAAGTGAGCGTTTCCTGGACTGCTCGTAAAAACGGCTTTTTTTTTCAACATCGCGTCATTTGACGTCATATCAGGGAGCCTCAGTCTCAGCTCAGTGAGAACAGGCTGGTGTTCAGTGAGAGCGCTCGTCAGTCAGTGTGCTTTCGTTAGTTTTTGCATTTTAATTTATCATCGTCATGGTAAATTATTGTGTTTGTGGAGATTGCAAAAACTCCTGCCTGTCAGGACTTCAAGATCGAGTCCACAAGTTTCCATTACAATAAAAGGAACGGTGCTATAGCCTATCTTTCGTTCCTGGTGCGGTTTGAGCAGGTGAAGAGACGGGATTTCTCTTCTCTTCTCTTCTCGGAAAACGCGGTCGTGTGTAGCGTTCACTTCAGATCAAATGATTATCATCCTGGCGATATGATGGAGTTCAACATGGTACGCCGAAGCAAGAATATTGATCGTCGTATACTACCAATGGCATCAAATATTGTTATATAGGTAACTTAGTCATGTTATGCCCTAAATAGAACTTGTAATTGAAAAACAAAATTGGTTGTTTAAATACTCAAATCTTTAATTTTCTGTTTATGTTATAACCTGAAAAAATATGTATTAAAAATGTACCCGAGTATAACATATGCTTTTAGTATAGAAATATACTCAAGTAAAGATTTATACATTTAATAGTATATAAATCTACCCTAAACATACTCATGTCTGCTGGCCTGTTATAGGATCATAATAATCTGTACAATATTGTGAGCACAGTGTATATCGTTAGTGAACTTGTATATCTATAAGCACATCTCTCACCCAAAAGACACCTGTCCTGTTCTCCACTGGTTCTCCTCACATCACAGCTCAATTTTTCTCTGACCGTTTTGTCTAACATTATCCTGGCCTGTCCCTGTTCTCTTTAGCATAGCAGGCTCATAACTTTATGGCTTGATCCGTCATACGAGTATTTCCTCAGCGTCCGAAATGATCCATTGTTTTCCTGTTGTGTGAATTGACGGCTCTCCCGCTCATTGCGTCACGCCCACCACGCCCATTTTCAGACGCGAAAGTAAAATTCTCTCACAAAAACGACTTCAGAAGCTTCTGTAACGTGTTTATACGTATATTTTAAAGAAAATCTAGTTCCTACATTGTTTTTCTATGCATTGACTCGTTGGGTCCTCTAACCTGCAATATGCCCTTTAATGGTTTGTTTCTGTTATGCCCAAACCACACCTATGAATAATGAAGCTACTTCAGACCAACCCCTTTTAAGCAACAGCGCCCAAGACCCGCCCACAAAGTTACTTACGCTTTGCACTTGCTACTTGCGTTTCAGATCGTTAAAATAGGGCCCAAAGTCTCTTTTACGATCTTGATATTGTTACATCCTCGAAGTTCTGTATATGCTAAGAAATTATTATTTTTCTGTGGCCATGGAAGATACCCTTTTCTTAAAATAAATGAATATTCAAAAGAGTTCGCTGGATGAACTAAAAATTATTTATCTACATGAAGTTAATCCAATTAACTTGACCCAAATGTTTATAATTAATCATAACAAGTTATTATTGATTATTAATCTTTAATAGAGCTAATTTGTTAGAGGTTTCACCACTCATCCAGATTGTATGACTATACTTTAGATTTAATATTAAAGCCATATCACAGTCACAATGTGTGTGTTGTGACGAAATATCAGAATATAGCAGGGATTCAGCTGTAGGTAAGGAATCAAATATAATAATTATGTGAAAAGAGACATTCAGCTTAAGAAGCTATTAAATCTTCATGTGAAGAGTTCAGATGCAAAAGCCTCTACGTGCCATTTGAAATTTTCTTCTAGAATGGTCATTTTTATCAAGCTTGTATATTTAAGTTCAGTGATTTCACTTAAATGGCAATGATAATTACCTATTAATTGTTATTTAAGTGAAATTACTGAACTTAAATATACAAGTTTGATAAAAATCATCATTAAAGAAGAAAATTTCAAACGGCATTTAGAGGCTTTTGCATCTGAACTCTTCATGTATGTTTATTGCTTACCACTCTCTCCACAAAAGTGTCATGGATAGATTCCTCAATGAACAGTCTCCCTGCTGCAATGCAGTTCTCTCCCTTATTAAAGAACACAGAGCTCATACCCTGTAGACAAGAAGTGTGTGGAGGGTACAAAACATGTCTGAGATCACAACATGACTTCGATAAACAAAGAATGTATTTTTAATATGATCATGGTACTGAGGTGAACAAACCATTCTGACAGCTTTGTCCAGATCACAATCATTAAAGATGATGAGAGGAGATTTCCCTCCTAGCTCAAGTGAAACCTTCTTCACATTGCTGACTGCACAGCTACAAGACAGACAAGCATTTTTAGCATTCCCAACTTTTATTTAAACCCTATTTGTAATTAACTTAAATGAAAGAAATGCTGTAAGCATACAAAAAAGTGTTTGTATAATTTTCAATTTGTGGCCCTAATGTGGCATCAAGACAAAATCTACAAAACTCTGAAAAGAAAAGAAGGAAACAGTCGCAACATTTTAAAAAGGGATGCTCATTCACCTTTTCATTATCTGTTTGCCAATCTCAGTGGAGCCGGTGAAGCCCAGTTTTCGAACATCAGGGTGGTCAGACAGCCGCTGACCAACCAGAGACCCTAAAATTGACATCAATAAATATTCGACTCATATTTGAGCAGATGGCCTTCAAAACAGCCAAATTCACAAAATATACTTCAGTATATGAACTTTGTTATGTATGGTTTGGTGTGTATATGCACCGGATCCTGGAAGTATGTTCACCACGCCCTTTGGAAACTTCGCCAGTGCAGTTAATTCGGCAAACTTGAGAGCAGTCAAAGGTGTGACCTAGAATTCAACACAGAAACACACTGCTTCATTTCTGTTCCAAACATTGTTTGGAATAAAGATGCCTTGTGCGTGTTTAACATTAACACCATTTTTTTTTTTACCTGTGCAGGTTTGAGCACCACGGTGTTTCCAGCTGCCAGGCAGGCTGCAGTCTTCCAGGCCAGCATCATTAATGGATAATTCCATGGAATGACAATGGCACACAAACTGAACATAAACAAGCAAGAGCTAAATATTCTTAGCATTCTATCCAGATATAAAAAATACATAGCAATTAAGGTGACTTTTCATGGTGAGGTTGGAGTTTGAGTATTCATTTTTATGGGGAGCGTTGATTTTACCCAATTGGCTCTTTCTTGGTGAAGGTAAGATTTCGATTAGGCCGAGCCTGGTTGATAGGAATAGTGCAACCCTGTGGAGAATAATTTTAGATCTTTCAGACACACACTGAATAGGTTCATTATTTGTATTTTTATTTATTTTTTAAAGGGAACATATCATGCAAAATCCACTTTTTCATCCCTTAAATGCATTTTGTTGTATATTTGGAGTGTTTATAAGTACAGAAAAGATGAAATTATTCTCTTCAGGTGCTTCGTTTATATCTTTATATTCTGTTTTGGTCATATTTTTCAACCTGTTTAGATTTTTCTGTTGTCTATTACGTTTCTTGAACCACAGCGTCACCGTATTTGCAGCGGAACTGCCAAATAAGGACATTGACTACCGGTCCAACACTTCGAGCAATCCGCCATTATTATTTCTCGCTCCGATTTTGTAGTCCGAGCTCAATGATGCAGAAGTTACGAGAGGGCAAGTCAAAATGTTCGGTTTTTGGATGTAGTGACCTGAAGCACTTCAAGGATTCCCACTTCAACAACCTTCGCCAGTATACAGAAGGGTTTGCCGATCGACTTCGTCTGAATGAGAGGTAAATTCCTTCTATCTTTGGAGACGACAAACAGACCATTTCGATAAGTTGTAAATATCGTTAATAAAAATAAAGTACTTCACTTTCTTAAAACACATGGTGGTCATGGTTTAGCAGTACCTTTGTCTTTCTTTGTTTTTGTTTTGAAGTAACGTTACACGTCTGCGGTATTATTGTTCTTGAGTTTCATCAATGGTCATTTAGCTGCTGTGTTTTTTGATGCTTTTCTAAACGTATCATATTATCAATACAGATTGTTTGTGTTAAGATTAGACCGTAGTCATTTATCTTGTCAGTGTGCTTGTTTTAACAAGAGAAATAGTCGACTTTCACTAATAACACAAAACAGTTAACTCACATACCAATACATCATGAAGAGGTTGTGCAGGTTCGTCGTCGTCTTTATCAACTCGCTCGCTCTGGCTCGAAGATGTAAGGCTTGATGGACAAATCTTCTGTTGTTGACATTTTATTAACGTGTGAATAAAAATGTTCTTTGAAGGTATCGTATATAATCGTATATCTCTAATCAAACTACAATAATGGCCGAACGTGGGGAGTTGAACTGACCGTGAACTCATCGACCTGGAGAACGGGCGGGGTATGACGCATCTCCGTTTTATTTAAAGGGGCCGCTTTAAAAACGGGTCGCTCAAAGACGCACATCAGAAAAGGGGTAGAAAAGGGGCTTGTGGAGCTATAATAATGAGGAATTCAGACCCAAGCATTGCAGTTATGTTTTATATAGACCACAACGGTATGATTTATATGTAAAAATGAATGATTTAAAAGCATGATATGTACCCTTTAAATCTTACTAACCCACAAGTTTTCCAAACCTGTATGAATTTATTTCTCCTGCTGAACACAAAAGAAAATATTTTGAAGAATATAGCTGCAAGCACCCATAAGGGGCCAAGCACAAAGGCGGCACGACAAGTCATTACTGCATGGCTTTCAGAGCATCAGACCAACTGCAACAATGAGCATATTAAGACCATTTCAGGCAAAATGCCTGAAAGATCAATTACAATCACTATGATGTTTGGTTTATCATTTTTGACGAATAGGTGGCACTGTGACCAATTTGATGTGGTGTGGTCAGAGTAATGCCTTGTTCACACTACATGATTTTAAAACGTCAAGCTGAACTGTGCGGTTCACACTACATAACTTGCTCTCAGTGAAATCAGGAGTGTTCAAATTGTTGAGCTGTTCACACCACACAACACAACGTGATTGATTCGCAACAGGAGGTAACGCACTACACGAGCTGACAACAACTCTGTCACCCAACGATTCTATCTTGTCTACAAACTACGTTTTGTCACGAAAAATCACGCGATAAGACGAACCGGAAATGACGCAAAACAGCACGTCCGTCAATACCCAGCGAAGAAGAGAAGAACACAACACGCAAATATGGACGTCAGACAGAAACAATAGGTTACTATCGTAACCCCGGTTCTCTGAAACATCGAGTGGAGAGATCCACCAGCTTTGCCCCGCTTGCCGCACGAGAAGCGAATATACTTACTGAGGAATAGCAGCGCGCCCAGATGTTATATGCCCGTGGGTGAGGGGTGTGGCCTCATTGGGCATTGGCCGCGCGCTTCTGTCTGTCTAGCCAGACTTGGTGCAATTGGATGCTTCTGCAGAGGTCAGGTACGGATGCCCTTCCCATAGGTGGATCTCTCCACTCGATGTTTCAGAGAACCGGGGTTACGATAGTAACCTATTGTTCTCTTTCATCATCTCGTGTTCGAGATCCACCTATGGGAGAGACATGGACAGCTCCCCGATTGCCCAATACACTCACAGTGAGGTTCTGGAGCCAGAGAAGGACGGTCACCTCGGGGAGGCGGTGCCTGACACGTCCCTTAATCATGAGCCTGCGAAGGTGAAACCACACCTAACTAATGTGGACAAGCAGGACATGAAATACGCATGGGACACATGCGAGATAGTAACCCCAACCCACAAAGACATAATCTATACCCGAAAGGGGGAGTGATTGGTGATTGGTGACAGGAATGAACATGGCCAGTCAGCCCATTCACTCCTAATGGTTATATATACCAACAGGGTTACAGGGAGGGGCTAAGACGACCCCACCCCTAGAACCGAATGTGCTACCGAGGTACTGGTGACATCCAGCCGGTAGGTATGAGGAGAAGCCCAACTGGCAGCGGAGCAGATGTCCTGCAGTGACACTCCCCTAAACAGAGCCCAAGAGGTGGCTAAACCTCTTGTGGAATGAGCTCTGATGCCCCTAGGGGGCTGCACTCCCTTTGCTTTGTAAGCCATGGTAATAGCATCCACAACCCAATGTGAGAGGCGTTGCTTCGAAATTGGACTCCCTAAGTGAGGGGGAGCCCATGAAACAAAGAGCTGGTCGCTCTTCCGGAAAGCATTCGTCCTCGTCATATATGCCTGTAAGGCACGGACTGGACACAGAGCGTTCAGCCTCTGATCCTCTAGAGAGGTAAAAGGTGGAGGGTGAAAAGCGGACAGCTCCAACACCTCCGAAGTGAACGCAGGGAAGCACTTCGGCATGAAGGCCGGGTTAGGCTTAAGGAAGACCTTATCTCCACTAAGAGAGAACTTAGAGCACGAGGGATGAACCGAGAGTGCATGTAGCTCACTGACACGTTTAGCAGATGCCAAGGCCAAAAGCAAAACTGTCTTGAGAGACAGCAGCTTAAGGGATATACTATCCAAAGGCTCAAAAGGGTGTTGAGACAGAGCTTCCAGCACCATGGAGAGGTCCCACTCCGGGACAGTTCTCCTGACGACTGGCAAAGAGCGGCGTGCACCCTTCATAAATCTGCGGATTAGAGGGTGCTGACCGACGGTCGAGCCCTCAAAACCCACATGACAGGCTGAAATAGCAGCCAAGTAGACCTTAATGGTGGAAAAGGACCTGCCTTTATCCATGAGGTTTTGAAGGAAACACAAAATATCAGGAACTGAACACTGATAAGATGTGATACCGCGCCCATCACACCACCCCTCGAACACTTGCCACTTACAGCCATATAAGGACCGTGTCGAGACGGCCCTGGCATTCTGAATAGTGGTGACCACACGCGGCAAAAGCCCAAGTGCGTTCAGGTTCGTCCTCTCACGGGCCAGGCCCAGAGAGCCACCCTGTCCGGGTGGGGGTGGTAAATCTCCCCGTTGGCTTGGGATAATAGATCCGTGCGAACGGGAAGGCACAATGGCTCGGCGTATAACAGAGGGATTATCTCCGCCAGCCACGGTGCTTTGGGCCATCTGGGTGCTATCAGAATGAGAGACAGGCCCTGCCCTCTCACCCTGGCCAATGTGGGAATTATCAGGCACAGGGGAGGAAAAGCATACAGGAGCACTCTCGGCCATGGGTGGGCCAGTGCGTCTACCCCGAGGGGCGCGTCCATGTCCCTTAGAGAGAAGAACATAGGACAATGGCAGTTTTCGCGCGAGGCGAATAGATCTACGCTCGCCCGTCCGAATCTCATCCATAGCATTTCCACTATCTGCGGATGAAGACGCCAATCCCCGTAGATTGGGTTTCCCCTTGACAGCAGATCTGCGCCGATGTTCAGAATGCCTGGGACGTGAGTCGCGCGTAGCGACAAGAAAACCCGTCTGCTCCACACCAAGAGCTTGTGAGCTAGAAGGTGAAGTTTCGACGAGCGCAAGCCGCCCTGACGGTTGATATATGCCACAGCCGTGGTATTGTCGCACCGTACCAGCACGTGATGTCCCTGCAGGCGAGGCAGAAAATGATTCAGAGCTTTCCAAATGGTCAAAAGCTCTAAATAATTTATATGTGCTGAACGTAGTCTGTTTGGCCACAGACCGTTCACCGTTCTGCCCTCCTGGGTGGCACCCCAGCCTGTTAAGGATGCATCTGTCGTCACCACTTTCCGCATCGTAACCGCCCCGAGAGGGGTTCCCCGTGCGTAAAAGTCTGCGTTCTTCCAATGGCGCAGAGCACGCACGCGCGCGTCACTGTAACCGAGCGGCAAAGGTCGTGAATCGGGCTGAAATGTAGCGACAAAACCCATTTCATGAACGCCCTCATCCTCAGGAGTCCTAATGGCACAACTTGGGTGGATGAAGCCATGAGACCCTGCATCCTGAGACATGTGCGATATTGCACTTTCGCCCCTTCTCTGAACTGTGACAGACAGCTCATTAGAGAGCGAACGCACTCCAGAGAGAGACGCGCTCGCATGGCAACCGAGTTCAACTCCAAACCCAGGAAAATGACATTCTGACTGGGCGTGAGATTGCTCTTGCCCACGTTCACTTGGAACCCGAGCGATGTGATGTGCGCGAGCACACGGCCGGTGTCCTGCAACACCTTCTCCTTCGATTCGGCTATGATGAGCCAATCGTCTATGTAAGTCAGGATTCTCAGACCTGTTATTCTCAGAGGCGTTAAGCCCGCCTCCGCGCACAGACAGAAAGACCGGGGACTCAAACTGAGTCCAAACGGAAGAACTGTGAATTCGTAACATATGCCCTGGTAGGCAAAACGAAGAAACTTCCTGTGCGGAGGATAAATGCTTATGTGAAAGAAAGCATCTTTCAGATCGACTGATGTGAACCAGTCGTTCTGTTTTATGGCACGGGCGAGTGCGCCCTGTGTCAGCATTCTGAAATTGTATTTCCTCAAATGTTTGTTCAACACTCGAAGGTCCAAGATAGGGCGGAGAGAGACGCCTTTCTTTGGAACCAGAAAATACCGGGAATAAAAACCCTGGTTCATCAGATTGGGGGGTACCACCTGAATCGCTCCCTTGTTTAAGAGAGATGAAATTTCTTCTTCCAGAATGTGAGAGGCTTTCTCTTCCGTGTGAGAAAAGAGAATGCCGTTGAAATGAGGGGGTTTTACTGCTAATTGCAATCTGTAACCCTGCATTATTGTACGCATAACCCACTCGGGAGCCGAAACGGTTCGCCAAGCCGCTTCGTGACTCGCGAGAGTCCCCGCTCGGGACAGAGCGGAGCTGTGTCTTGAGACCAACAGATTTATTTGTGATGCAATGGCGCCATCTCGTGGGCACACTAGAGGCGACATGCGGGGGTTCGGAGGGGATTCCTCTCTCTGCAGTGAGAAAGGTTCTCTCTGCGGAGAGAGGTTTTCCCTCCGAAACGAATTTGTTAGATTCGTTTTTATTTGTGTTTTGTGTGTTTTGTGCTGGGCAAACACTGGGGCCGAAGCCTTTATTGAAAGAGTGAGGGGAACAGAGTGAGGGCAGTGTGGTTTTGACACTGAACTTAACCTTCCTCTCACCAGAGGCCCCCTGAACGTGGGGGGAAAACACACATTCCTTGAACACACGGGCTGGGCAGTCTCGACAGGCGGCAAGCTGACCCATCCGCGGGACTCCCGGGGTCTTTTGGACGGGGGTCCTAGAAGGAGAGAGGAGTCCAAGGGGCTCGCGGCCCGTGAACGTGGACTGGAAGTAGCAGGTCTCCCAGACGTGAATTGGAATTAGCAGGTCTCCCAGCCGCGGCGGGAGCGGGCTTAACCCAGTGTTTGTTAGAGGGCGCTGGGTTATGATGTCGTGAAGGCGGTTTGTTTCGGGACTTTTCCTTGCCCTGGGGAAACTGACGTCCCGTGACCGGTGGGTTAGGCGAACGCACAGGGGGATTCTGGCGTGGACCTGACTTCCTCGGAAGGCAAAGTTTGAAAGCCTCATCCTCCTTTTTCTTGTCGTCGCACCGTTGTTGCATCAGTGCGACGGCGGGGCCGAAGAGAGCCCGGCCGGGCTCCACCGGCGCGCCCGCGATGCGCCGCTTCTCGCTGTCCGGGAGTCCCGACAGGTTCAGCCAGAGCGCGCGCTCTCCCACCACGGAGAGCGCCATGGAGCGCCCGCACGCTTGGACAGCCTGACGGGCGTTACGGAGGACGAGGTTGTTCACCGTGAGGATCTCCTTCCAAAGGATTTCGGAAGGATTACCTTTTTCTAGCTGTTGCCCTAATTCTTCGAGGATCTCCGCCTGGTAGGCGGAGAGGAGCGAAGAAACGTTAAGGGCCCTGACAGCCACAGACGAGGATTTATACGCTGCCTGGTGAACGGACGCAGCGAAACAGTCCATTTTGTTGGGCAGGACTGGCTTAGGGGGGGCGAGCAGCCCACCCTGAGCGGGGTTAAGGTGCCTGGCGATAGAAGGCTCGACGGCGGGGGGGTCGCCCATACCGTGAGCTGCCATGTCCTTAACTTCGAGTCCCGTGAGACCGTGTCTGAAGTCGAGCGGATCGCTCCAATAGTTCCTCATGTGCTTAGCGCACGCCGGGAGGATGGGGAAGAGTTGTTTCCTCGGGCCGGGAGGGGGTCCCAACACTTTCCCATCATAAATATCCCTCTCCTGGTCGGTGGCGCTCTGAGGTGCTGGCCATTCGATGTTGAGACGAGCGGCCGCTCGTTCACACACCTCCAGGAGGATGGCTTGAGGAAGAGCCGCGTGAGCGGTAATCTGGGGAACGACAGAGGGCGGAAGGCCTCCTCGTCCTCTGAAACCCCAAGAATGGCCGCATCCTCCTCTTCGCCAGAACCGGCCGGTTCGTGGGCGAGAGCGAGGTTATCCCGAAGATGTCCTCCTCGGGGAAGGCGGGATTGGGCTGGTCAGCCCAGACGAGCGACGAAGCGTCCCGAGAGGCCCTCGGTGGCGCGTCGTCATCACCGTGTCCCCCGTCGAGTCTGAGCCCGTGGGGCTGAGCTCGGAGCACTGTGTCACTGCTACCTTGAATCGACGTTTAAGCAGTTTCCTCGGCAGCAAGAGGCAGAAACTGCAGTTATCTGGGTTCTCAAGGGCTTCCCGAGCGTGCTTAGGACCCAAACAGACAACGCAAAGCTGGTGGAGGTCTTTAGCTGCGATAAGGGCTCCACACGCGCCGGGCAGGCCCGTGAAAAGCTATCCCCAGATGATGCCGTAGGCTTAGACAGAGACATAGCGAGGGAGAAATCCTGTGGCGAGCAGCCGTGTTGTAGAACGGTGAGAAAAAGCTCCGAATGCACAACAGCAGTTGAATTTAATCTGCCACGTCCGGTGGAGGCTGATCAGGCCGATATGTCCTCCTGTAGACACGAGGTGAGCAGAGTAAAAACTAACCGAGCTGAGAATTGCAGAGATCGCGAGAAGCGAATGACAACTGAGGAATAGCAGCGCGCCCAGATGTTATATGCCCGTGGGTGAGGGGTGTGGCCTCATTGGGCATTGGCCGCGCGCTTCTGTCTGTCTAGCCAGACTTGGTGCAATTGGATGCTTCTGCAGAGGTCAGGTACGGATGCCCTTCCCATAGGTGGATCTCGAACACGAGATGATGAAAGAGAACTAGTGTTTCAAACTGTTTGTGCGATGAATTGCTCTGAGAAAAAAATGCAAAAAAAGAAAAAGTAAGATTTACCTGGTGACCTCAACCCATGCCTTGCTCTGATTGGCTGGAGCTAATGACATCACTGAGGTTGAGTCGCGTGACAGCTCTGGATATCTAGCATGCTAGATATTTTTCTGGGCTCAGCGACGCGTCTGCAAGGCGTCTGCGAGCGTCTTTGATGCGTTGTTGGCTCTTTCATAATAACAGATTGGCAAGCGTTCATCGTCCGCTAATCCCCCGCGATTTGCACGCGATAACACCCTGACCTGTCGGCGAGCTCAACGGCGAGCTCAACAGCCTCAAGAATCATTTTGGCATCATGCCTCAACTTTGTTGTTTCGGTATACGAAAATGGTATCGCACCCCTACACGCAATAACTTTTTGTCGGCACGTTCTGGAGAGGATTCAGTTTCGATTTGGTTAAAATAAGACAAACGGCCAAGGAGGAGTTTGAAAAAGTAGGTTTTGAAAGAAACTCAAAAAGATGGACAAGAAGTTCGGTCAAATATTGCAAAATTGGTATCTATGTTCTTGGCATGACCCAAATAATCTATTACAGTTTTTTTCAGTCGCAAGCAAGCTTCTAACAAGCATTTGTCCAACAGTTGTCACACTTTCAAAACTCTTAACACAATTAGCACAGGCATCAATCTTTTGTGGCCATACCATTCACACATTTCATGTCGTTTTCAACAATATCCAGTCAGTGAACTTATTTCCACAATGCTTACATTTTCTTAACAGACAATACCTATACCTCCCAACAAAATTATGGATTGTTTTTGTAATATTTATAAATGTTCACACACACCATTCCAAAATAGCAAAAACAATATTACAAACCTTAGATACAGTATAAAAACGTCTGCTTCTGCAATGATATCAGTTCAAAAACAATATATCTTAGCTGATAATAAACAAAACAATTGAATAATTGACCTACGGCTTATTTAAGTTGGCTAAATTGGGCCAACCTCAGCTGTTTTCAGTCTGGCTTAGATTCAGTGTCAGGGGTTATTTTTTTCTATTACATTGACACTTATACAGTAAAAGGAGGACTTTACAGTGAAGAGTAATGTTTTTGGAAACAGAAAAAGACAAACACTGTAACGTCTGGACG